TAATTTTCTAAGTAAAGACAGGTAAGTAAAGACCCACGAAGCTTTACCTTTCCCTTGTACAGAATGACAGGGCAAACAAAGCGTCCTCTACACCTCGCCATCTTACTCCGGTTGATGAGGTCCTGCAGTTTGCCAACCTGCACAGTGCTCTCAAACCTAGTGGGCAGAGACTCGGGTCAGTACACAGAGCATCTCCTCACACACGCTTCTGCAAAGCTGCCACAGACACCCTGGGCTGCAGTCCCCATCCTCTTTTCCCTAGAAGCCAGCTCTGAAGTCAGCAAGCAAGAGGACACCTCTTTGAGAATTGCTTCTGCTGCTGTATGACATGTACAGACACTTTTCTGTCACCTTTTCTATTTTGAAAGACCAGTGCACAGCACATGACACCATTATCAGGGGCTGGCAATATCAGCACCATCAGAAGGGTCTGCTGCAGATTAACACATGGATTACTGGTGAAGGACTGCCAGAGTCAGATAGTGTCTACAAAAATACATATTCTGCTTTCCTCTGCATCACCTTTCCATCAAAAAGTAGCTCAGCACTGCCATCCCAGTGAATTCGCTATCAGATTGATAGTAATTTTTCAAGGAAAAATAAATAAAATAGAGAATCAAATCTTGAATGCTCCACAAACCTTAGTTCTGGTCACTCAAGCACTCGTGTTGCCAGGTAATTGAACAATGGTCTGTAAATCTGCTAGTGGGTTGAGCAACGTCCTAAGAGTAATGTCAGCTGCATCTGCGTAACTACATTTTGTTTGTTTTTCTGATTGAAGTCAAAATAGAAGTGTGTTCCATGTTGGGGGACATTCTGGAAGCAAAATTGCTGCAACTTTTCCTGTACCTGTCTACATTTGATAGGAATCCAAACTTACTTCCGAACTACATAGACCTTCAGGAGGAACTATCAATGCAGGGAGGACTAAAGTTGCCATAAGGAATTGGAGAATCATCCAGACTGACATAATAGAAACCAGGTGGACATACAAAACTGCATGGCCATGCACTTAGAGATAATTAACAAGAATCTCCAGTAGCCCTTTCCAGTAGTGGAGCACAGTAGAACAGCCTCGATAAACTGGCTGTATCTGGATCCTCATACATTATCAACATGGTAAGTTAGAAAAAAGGGAAAAATAAGATCATAGGAAATTCCCCGGAGGGATGGAGAAGTACCAGCATTACTGTGCAGAGCACAAGCCCTCACCGAAGGCATCTGATCCTGGTGACCCACCCCTGCATGAAAAAGCTCAGCAAGATGAGTAGGATGGCCATGGAACAGTCTATGCTGCAAGAGAAACCACCAGGGACGGACTGGCAGAGCAGATGAAGTGAGAACACAGCTCTGCAGGGGAAAGGAGAGAACTTAACAAGGGAGAAGAAGAACTCAAAGGCAAACGACAATGCTGGCCTAAGAATAAATTAATACCTTTATGCTGGAAGTTAAAAGAAAGTTGCTAAACTTCAGAATCAGTGAGAGTGTGGAGCAACATACCAGCAGCTGCCACTCCGGGAAGGATTAAAAGAATTAATCTATTATTAACAAGGAAATTGATCTGTTTATGGAAAAGGTTATACAAGGTATTGTCAGTGGAAGCAGAGAAACAGCAAACATGGCCTTCAAATCCAACTTTTTTTTTTTTTTTTTTTTTTTAAAAAAGGGAAAAAAAGGAAAGGAAAGAAGGAAAGAAGGAGAAAGTTCTCAGAATTATTGGAGGCTTAAGTTTATTCACATTTCCCTGCACACACAACTACTTTGCAGTCCGGCTCCAAAGAGCTTTGACATATAGCGGAATTTAAAGAACAAGAACCCATGCTAATCTTCTTTAAACACTGTGAATGTGAGGGTATTAATTGCAAAGACAGGAAAACGTGAGCTGTGTGAGAAGAGATGCCTTTGTGTATAGTTCCTAACACCAAACTATTTTGAAACTCGGAGACTGTGACGCACAGATTTGGTTGTGGGGTTGTTTTTAAATGAATGCACGCAATCAAAAGACATATCCTGCACTCTGCTCCAGTTGCCTTTATGTTTCCTTGGCAAAAGCGAATACAGAGGGAAACAGGGACGTTAGCACGGTGTAACCAGAATAGCTCCACGGTGCTGCTTTTAAGTCCAGAAGAGGGGATTCAGCAAAAATGTAATGCCTGAAAGATCAAAAATTATAAGAGAAGTGCATCCCCAGGGGGTGAGACAAGACAACAGGTTTCACCTCTCAGTACGTTCACTGCACTTCCCTGGAGAGGCATCGCAGCACTGGGGAATGAGTCCGAGCAGCCTGGCAGGAACCCAGGGCACGGGGCAAGCAGGAAATCCAAGACCCCACTGGGGACACAGAAGAATGAGCCCCTCTCCCAGGCACAACACGTCTGCACACGCACTGGAGAGACCTGCTCTGCTACCTGTTATGGATGTGCTACAAACACAGCTCTCAGATCTTCTCATCTCAATAACCATCATCAGTAAAGCGAGAGATAAACATGAGCTAGAGGTAAACACGGTAAATAAACACAGTTGGACTGAGACTACTGTGGTGAGGGGAGGGCTGACCTACTCTGAAGAACAGGTGGAATGCTTTTACAGGGACTAGTGATTAAATGCAATGCAAGTAGAAGTAAAATCTACTGAAAAAGGTTCAGAAAACAGCACTCTTCAGCATCATTAAGGCTGTTTGGCACAAGGCAGAGAATAAAGCAGAAAGAATGATGTGTATCTTGACTTTTTTTTTTTTTTTTTTACTTTTAGGTGTTTGGGGTGTAATGGGGGGTGGTGTTCTTCAGAATTTTGTTTTCCAGAAGACACTGCTGGGCAAAGATTACCTCTTGACCTCCCTCCACCCAAACCCCAAATCCGAAGTAATCTTTTTAAATGCAAGGGAAACTTGTCCTTTAGGAGCAACCAACTGTTTTGGCAACTATTTTAGATAGGCCTCACGCAGAGATGCTCCTCTTTGGGTGACCACAACAGCACTGGAATCAAAGTGTTCTTCTTATGTTGCTAGAGTACACATAACTGTGATCATATTCGTTTGGAGTGCAGACACATAACAGGATCATCTTGTAAAACCATGGATGTGGCCCATGACTGAGACTTGGACGTTTTTCATTACGCACAATCACAGTAATTTCCAAGTTATGTTGGAGCTGGAAAGCTGCTCAGTGGAAAAGGATCTGTGGGTGCTGGTAGAGACCATGCTGAACATGAGCCAGCACGTGTCCAGGTGGCCAAGGAGGTCAAGGGCATCCTGGCTTTTATCAGTGTGGTCAGCAGGACCAGGGTAGTGATCGTTCCCTTGTACTCAGCAGTGAGGTGACATCAGAGATTTCCAAGCATAAGGAAGGACTCCTGAGTATCAGACACACTCTGCTACTTTCTGTGACTCCTCACAATCAGTACCTGATCAAGGGACACGGAGACTAAAAACATACATGGAATTCCTCCTGCACCTGCCTGGATTTCAGAGTAGTATTAGTAAACTATCAACAAGCAACATTCTTTTTCCCCCAGCTGCCAAGTCACAAAAGGAACAGGATCAGGAAACTGATCCGGGTCAAAAGTATCCATTTTTGGCTGGTTCCACATATGCTCCAGAAACAGCTGTACCAGCAGAACCAACAAGGCAGCACAGGGTTTGCACACATGAAAACTGTTTATAAAACACCTTGGTATTTTCAGAGGTGTGAAGCCTCAAGAAGATCTTTGCAGCTGATAAGAACATTAAAAAGATGAACGCAGAAGTGTCCAAGGCTGGGCTGGATGGCGCCCAGAGCAACCTGGTCTAGTGGAAGTGTTCCTGCCCACAGCAGGGGGGATGGAACCAGGGATCTTTAAGGTCCCTTCTAACCCAAACCATTCTTTAGCTCTACAAAAGGCAGCCAAAGACACACAGTCCTAGAGGGACTGTCCTGCTCACTGGAAGAGGTTCTTGCATTCTGTAACGCAAGAAATACAACAGTCTCTACGTAATAATTATTCCACAGTAGTACAACAATGAAACTAAAATCTGAATTTGTCTAAAGATCACTTAGCAGTTTTTACAGAGAGCATCACCCAGAAATCAGGAGAGGCATGATAAAATGTAGTCTGTTTCTGTGACTCTCTGGGACAGCACATCAAGACTGGGAGAGAACAAGTTTTAAAAAAGTTAATCGCCACTGCTGGCTTGCCTAAGTCACAGAAGAAAATGGGGCATCAAGTGTAAATACTCTTTGTTTTGAATACCTTCAGAAAAATTAAGCATGCTTTATTCTTGCAAGAGCAGGAAAGCAGAAGCATTCGGTTTCTCTTCCCTAGTTACATTTACAGCTTCAGACTTCAGCTTCCTGTTTTTTGCAGCAAGGGGTTTAATCTTTTCTAATCTGAAAAGCATGAATTCTCGTATATCAAGCAGAAATTCCCCCACCTGACAGTCAGCTGTGGCTGGTTTCCAAAGACCCTCTTCTACAGCACCCAGCCCATGTGCCAGCACAGCAGGTGATGGTTTGCCTTCCTCAGGCAAAACAGCTGGACATGTGAAGGGGACTTGGTGACCATTTTTTGAACACGTTATGCTTATCATGGACATGCACTTAAGACTGCAAAACTGCATTATGTCTTGTTGGAAGAAAAAATAAAACTGAGATTTGTGGTTGGAGCTGTAGGGAGCAATGTGAGACCAACGTGATCCTGGGCTCGTGGGTCAAAGTCCAGAAATGCGTTGGCTGAGACATGCACCAAACTGCCAGGAAGCGTTTCCCGTTAGCTCAATAAACCTCAGTGCCCACTAACCCGCCCTCCGCGGTGGGGAGAGGTGAAACAGCCTAGAATGACAGAAATATCTGTCCAAAATGCCTCAACTGCCTAGTCCTTATCAGACCCCATGCCCCGAGATGCTTTGCAGACTAAAATTCCCCGCATCAGAGGCCTTGCAGCGAGACCCATCAAGAGAGGGTGAGCATCGCACAGTCTCACTCTCAGCCTCGAGCCTTCGGACAAGCTGCAGCAGAGCAACGACCAGGACCCAGCGCTATGCTCGCCTTTACTCCAGGGCCACATGCAGCGTTGCTGGCGCTGCCCTGGAGCACCGGCGCTTCCTTCACACCCATCGTTAAAGGCTCAGCTTCCACCACGGCAGCCCAGGAGCCCCGGGGCGCTGGGAGGAGCCCCGCGGGAGCGCGGCAGCCCCGGGAGGCAGCGAGGGGAGCCCCTGGAGCGGTGACACCGCCGGCTATAATTAGCGCAGTACAGGGCTTCCCCCGGCCGGCGGGAGCCCCGGGACAGCAGCGGCGGGCACGGGAGCTACTCAAGACAACAACCACCACCACCACTCCGGCGGGACACGGGGACCGGGGGCCTTACGGGTCGCGGCCGGTGTCGCGCTCCAGGAGGACGATGTAGCGCGGGTAATGGGCGCAGACCTCGCCGTGCAGGTTGGGGATCACGCTGTAGCGATAGTCACGGCCGAAGAGCTCCAGGCACCGCCGCTCGATCCGCTCCACCTGCGCAGAGCCACTGCTCAGTGCCCGCCGCGCCGGGACCCCCGAACCCCGCTCCCCCCCCCGCCCCGAGCCCCGGTGCCCTCACCTTGGCAGCGGCGGCGCCGCCGCCGTCCTTGGCGCGGTACTGTGCCCGGGAAAACTCGAGCAGCAGCTCGGCCAGGGCGCGGTCCCCGGAGCCCGCCGGGGGGCAGCCGCGGGCCGCCGCCGCCATGGCCGCGCCGCTCACCGCCGCCGCCTCGGGCCCATCGCCCCGCCCGCCGCTTTCCGCCCGCCGCCACCGCCCCTTCCGCCCGCTCCCGCCGTCATCGCTGAGCGCCGGGCCGCGCTCCGCCCCGGGGCAGCCGGACACCCAGCCAGTGCCGGTCGGAGCTGCGGGATGAGTGGTACCGCGGGACCCTGGCTCTTGCAGGAGAACACAAAGTGATTTTCATCCGCGTTTGTCTGACTTGCAAACCAGCTGCGAATCTTGACAAGACTTGGAAGAGAATGATGCCCTTGGAGCATTTTATGACAGCCGAGTTTGAGTGCAGCTAAGGCGGTGCGTCTCGCCACCCTGAGAAAGAAACTGGGCCGAGGTGGTCTGGTCTCTGCTGGGTTTGGGACCAGTGAGAGGCTGCCGGGGCGGGGGCAGGACTTTGCAGGGCACCTGCCGGCATACAAGTGCCTCAGGCCGGCAGCCTGCCACACCTCACCTGGCACAGCCGTGTACCCCGGCCCTGTCACTACACCTGACCTGGCACACCTCGTGTACCCCTGCCCTGCCATCACACCTGACCTGGCACACCTCGTGTACCCCGGCCCTGCCACCACACCTGACCTGGCACAGCCATGTACCCCGGCCCTGCCATCACACCTGACCTGGCACACCTCGTGTACCCCGGGCCTGCCATCACACCTGACCTGGCACACCTCGTGTACCCCGGCCCTGCCATCACACCTGACCTGGCACAGCCGTGTAACTGGCCCTGCGCTGTCACACGAGAGGTTCTGGGACGGGTACTGCTGTCCCAGTGCCACAGTGGCGGCAACTCAGCTTGCTCCGTCCCCACCAAGCGGGTGGGGAAACTCTGCTGCCCGCCCCGCGGGCTACGTCGGACACTCGCTGGGTCGCGGGGGGTGAGGGAGAACGGACGTCCTCGCTGCGGGCGCGCTCCAGCCAAACGCACCCCCGCGGGGACCCGCCGGCACTGACCGGGCTGTGCCCAGGCGCTGCCCGGGGAGCGGCCCCGGGGGAGCGGGGCGGGCCCGGCGCCGGCTCTGTCCCGGCTCGGCGACCCGAGCCGAGCCGAGCCGAGCCGAGCCGAGCCGAGCCGTGCCGAACATTGCCCGTCGCGAGGCGACCCGAGCCCGGCCGAGCCCGAGGCGGGCGCAGCCGAAGGCAGCCGGAGCAGCCCGATCCCCGGGGGGCGCGCGCGGCGGGCTGGGCTGGGCTGGGCTGGGCTGGGCTCAGCACGGCCGGGCTGGGCTGGGCCGGGCTGGGCTGGGCTGGGCTGGGCTGGGCTGTGCTCAGCACGGCCGGGCTGGGCTGGGCTGGGCCGGGCTGGGCTGGGCCGGGCTGTGCTCAGCACGGCCGGGCTCGGCGGGGCTCGGGCTCGGCTCCGCAGTGGCGGGGGGCGCGCGGCCGCGCGCGCGTGGCGGGAGCGCGCGGGGCGCAGAGGCGGCAGCCAAGATGGCGGCGCGGGTGTCGCAGGGCCCGGCAGCCCGCGGGCGCTCTTAGGCCGCGGCCCCCCCGCCCCGCCGACCCCGGGCGGGCCCCCCGCCGTCCCGGCCCCTCCCGCCCTCTGGCAAGTGGCGGCCGGCAGGATGCTGCCCTCGCAGGAAGCCTCCAAGCTGTATCATGACAACTACGTGCGGAACTCGCGCGCCATCGGCGTGCTCTGGGCCATCTTCACCATCTGCTTCGCCATCATCAACGTGGTGGTCTTCATCCAGCCCTACTGGGTGGGCGACAGCGTCAACACGCCCAAGCCCGGGTACTTCGGGCTGTTCCACTACTGCGTGGGCAGCGGGCTGGCGGGCCGGGAGCTGTCGTGCCGCGGCTCCTTCACCGACTTCAGCACCATCCCCTCGGGCGCCTTCCAGGCGGCCGCGTTCTTCGTGCTGCTCTCCATGGTGCTGACGCTGGGCTGCATCACCTGCTTCGCCCTCTTCTTCTTCTGCAACACCGCCACCGTCTACAAGATCTGCGCCTGGATGCAGCTGCTGGCAGGTACACTCCGGCTCCGGGAGCACCGGCCTGCCCCGGGCCTGGCGGCGGGCGAGGGGCGGGGGAATGTGGGCAGCGCCGGGTGTGGGGCACTCCGCCAGGACCCGGCACTGGTTATGGGGTCCTGGCGGCAGGGAGCACCGTGGTTGCTCAGGGAAGCTGGGTTGGGTCCAAGCCAGGGGTTGCCTGTGGTTCCAGGATGCAGCCCCATGGCTTCCTGGGACACCCAGGCCGGGTGCAAGTGCTGACAGAATACCAGGAATGGGCACCAGTTCGGGACACTGCCACCCATGGCTCCCTAGTATCCCCTGGCCACAAGGAACACTAGGGCTGCCCAAGAAAGCTGGGTTCTGGTACAAGTACCAGGTACAAGTAACCATAGAGTATCCCACCCAGGAGCCAGGCCCAGGACATCCCAGGACTTCCTGGGGCACCTGGGGCAGGCGGTGACACTGACAGAGCACCAGGAATAGGCGCTGGCACTGGTGCCCAGGGCTCCCCAGGCAGAGTTTGGCTGCAGGGAACACCGGGGTTGCTCAAGGAAGCTGGGCAGACTACAAGCACTGTCAGGCCATGGGGCATGCCAGGCAAGAAGTGTCTTCAGGACACTCCAGGGCTTCCTGAGACAGGCCAGACACTGGCACTGACAGAGCACCACAGATGTGTACCTGTCCTGGACACTGGAACCTGCGGTTCCCCAGGAAGGTCTGACTCCAGGGAACCACAGGGCTCACTGGGACACAGCAGGAAAGCTGGATCAGGGACCCCCCCACTTAGGGAACCCTGGAACAGGCACTGGCCCTGGGCCACACCTGAGCAGCCTGGAGTACCTCAGGACAGCTGAGCCAGGCACTGGCCTTGGAGCACCTTGGGACATCCTGGGCCAGTGACCAGCCTTGGGACACCCCAGTTAGGGACCAGTGTTGAGACACCCTACAAGAGGGACTGTCCCACAGAATCAACAGGCTCTTGGGGACTCATACACTCCAGGACACTTCACATAAAGGACTAGCCTTTCTGTCAAACCAGCCCCAGGGCATCCCTGAGCAAGCCTGTCCCCAAGGGGTACTCACTTTAGGGGAATCCCCAGCCCCTAAAGGAAGCCCATCACTGGCAGGGGCCCATGCATGGATCCCCCAGCCCTGTAAAAGCACCTGTGCACAGACAGACCCTTCAGTTCCCCCTTAAAGACATGTTGTGCCGAGGCCCCCTCCCTCCCACGTCGTGAAAGAGCTGTGAGGAAAGCCTTTCTGAGCTCTCTCCAGTGTTTCCCACAGAGGGACATCACACACCTTGATGTCTCCTCAGACACGACCACAGGCTCAAGCCCAGTCACTGCCCCAAAAAGTGTCCCTGTCTATAGATTCTACTCAGCTTCCTCCAAAAATGAAACCCCACTGTAGATGTGCCCTAAGACCCTCATAGACTCACTCCTCAAAGTGGCACCGTACAATAACCCAAACCTTTCTCCAGAAGGGGACCTGATGCCTATATTGGTAAGAATCCCGAGTATCCCTTGTGCACACACCTCCAGGCTGTCTTTACAGAGGGTCTGCCCTTTTTGGAGAAAGACCCTAAAAACTGATGCTGAGCTTTCCCTGGTAGGGGGAATCCTTCACTTCCTTCTCTGCCCAGTTTTACGAAGTGTGGACAGACACTGTTACTCTCCACTGCATACAGAGTGTGAATAGAGCTTCCACTGGATGGACCCAAAGCAGCCCTTATTCCTAATGAAAGGACCCAGTCTGTCCTCTCTGTGAGCAGGGCCCCAGTCACTGATGTGGAAGGATACAGCCCCTCTGTGCTAGGCCCTTGCAGCCAGCCCAGCTCTCTCCCTTGCAAACTGGCTGCGGCTGGAAAGCCTGACCTCTCCTCACCCAGATCAGGACCACAGCCAGACCGAGAGCTGCCTTGGCTTATCGGGAAATTCCCTCATCTTTAATTTTCCCTGTCCTGAAGATTTATCAGTTTAAAGCAAGCTCAGAGCCCAAATCCTACTGATGATTGTCAGCAGCTTAATCAAGTGGTTTGGAGCACCCGGCTGCTGCTGCTGCAGAGGGAGTTGTATGGTGGGGGGCACTGCACTGGGGGCAGCCCTGGGCTTTCTCCCTATTGCCTCCTGTCCTGCCCTGGCTCAAGTTTTGGTGGCCACAGCAGCACCCTGTGCTGTCAGCTCTGCGTACCCCTCGTTCTGCCCTGGGGCTTGTCCCTGCTCACACTTTGCGCCTTGTGGTTACATGTGCGTTGCTCACAGTGGCCCCAAGTGTGTGGCTTGCTGGGGCCATGGACCAGCTCCTCTGGCCTCAGCTGGGCCAGGCTGGCTCGGAGCTCTCCCACAGCAGCACAGCTCTGTGGCCTCTCTGTGCTGGGGAAGGTCCAAGGCAGCATTAATCAAGACTGTCCCTGCACTCTGCCCTGAGACAGGGCAGCACAAGAGAGCTCCTGCCCTACAGGGCAGGCTGGTGTCCCTGTCAGGGAGGGCCAGGACACAGAGGTCGTGGCGTGTCCCACAGGGACATCTTGGGGCGTTAAGCAGGGCTGAACTTCCCTGGGCATGTCAGAGACAGCTGCAGGTGGATGTGTTACCTTGTGCATGGAGGAGGAACTGCTGTGACCCATGGAGAGCACACAGGGGCCAGATCTCATGAGCAGGGCAGTACACAGCCTGATGCAGGCTCTGGCACAGCATTGTGACAAACTTGGGAGGTTCACCTGCCTGGGAGGTTGGAGGGTTGTGCCAGAGGAGAGGGCTTGGAGGAGCAGAGAAGGGAAGGACATTCCTCCTGCCTCGGTGACGTTTTAGCTAAAGGAGGACTCGCACTACTACAGCAACAGTGAGACCCAAAGTCTCTCGGTCTCGCTGGTGAAAACCAGGGGACTGGCAGAGAGATGGGGCAGAGGTGTCCCTACCCTGTTCCTCTGGGATGGCTGGTGCAGAGTACAGGACTGCTGACTGTGGGCATGGATGGGCTCTGCTGGGATGGGCTCTGCAGGAGTCGGGAGGAGGATGAGGAATTCAGGATCTCTTTCAAAAAAAAAAGTTTAAATCATCAATGTCTAATTAGTGGACAACAATCAAGGCAGAGTTTAATTAGAGCTTGACAGAGAGCTCCAGCTCAAAAGCCACTGCCCCCCTAGGAGGAAACTGGATCTAATTAAGAGGAAAGGCTCTGCTTTATCGCAAATAGAACGGGCCATCTGCCCTGTTCAAAATCCCAGTAACGCAAAACGAGATTTTGCTAAATCCTTCTGTTACAAAACCAGAGATGGGCCCTTAACATGAGCACGTCAACAACTGTGTGACTGACCAGCACCTGATGCCACCCCAGTACTCAAATTTAGTGGAGCAGCTCCTTCAGAAAGTCCCACAGGATGATGCTTACTTGAAGAGAAGTGGGCTGTGATGGTAATGCCCCTTAGGATCCATCTGCAGGAGACTGGAGCATAGGAGTACACCACCACCATGTACTGGGGAGGCTGCCCAGGAGTCTGAACATTTCCTCTGATTCCCTGATCCTCTACTGTAGCATAAGACACAGTCACCCTGTGAGTTAACTCCAAGCTTTGTCTTGGTGCCCAGCACCAATGCGGACTAAGAGAACCCAGCCACCTCTGTGGGACACTGTGTTCACATGCTTCGCATCAGGACAGTCACTCCAAGTGGGTCCAGGGCTCTGTTTCCAGGGGGTCTTCAGTTTTGTACTTACAGTCTACTGAGGGTCAAAAGAGGCAGCCGGCTGAGCACACCATCCCTCTTGCATGTAGGAATGAACTAGCCACATTTTAAGGTGTTTCTCTGTGCTTCAGGTCCAGCAGTCAGTGTGGTGAGACCTTCCAGCTTCCCAAGGGATGCATGACACCCAGGGCCATGCCGTTGACAGTAGCCTTGGGGTTTGTCCTTATCTTAGAACTTTGGAGTTGACTATGCCGTGTCCAGGCACCTTACCTGATGGACAGTGTGATAATACATATCCAACTGAGCCCTTTTCTCCTTTGGGAGACTCCCTTCGGAGCTACACTCACCTCTCAGACAGGCCCTTCCCAGGGCTGTGAGCAGAGGCAGAGCCCTGAGCAGTGGCTTCATCTTCTGCATCTCATCTGCATTTGCCACCCTCTGAGTGGGCACCCCTTGCACGGCATCATTCTGGCATGTCAGGGAGAGGAGCGGTGAGGAAGCCCCTTGCCAGCTGCTGGGCTGTGTGTGGCAGGGCTGTGTGGTATGGGCATGTGGCCTCAGCCCCAAGGGAGAGCAGCGTCTGGCCCCAGCACTACAGCCCTGAAACCCTCCCTGGTGCTGGCAGTGATGTGGTGACTCTGCTGAGCCACATCAGGACAGGCTCATCTTCCTGACTGGGACTTGCTGGAGAGCCAACTCCTCTCAGAGTCTGAGGTTTCAAAACAATTGTTTTCATGGATATAAAAGTCATTAATGGATTTTCATAATGAAAAAATACGAGGCAGATACTACTGCTCCAAACCAGCTTGGAGCATAACTGGGACAGCTACTGGGAATGAGACTGCCCAGGGAGGTCATGGAGTCTCCCTCTCTGCAGCCATTCAAAACCCACCTGGATGCATTCCTATGTAACCCACTCTAGGTGACCCTGCCTCGGTAGGGGGGTTGGACTGGATGATCTCCACAGTTCACTTCCAACCCTAATTATCCTGTGATTCTGTGATTCTATCCTGTATCCTCAATCCAAAATATGATTTTTCAGGTGAACCACTTCCACCTGCTGACCTTGCAGCAAAAATTACATCACCGCGAAAAAACTTAGCCTTTGATCAATTACCGCCTTCTGGCCCCCAGAAAAGCTTTCCTGAAGACTCCCCCCTCCTTCCACTGCCGTTCCTGCCTTGCAGCGGGGACAGGAGCAAGGATTCAGCCTATTCCTTGCATCCAGCCAGCGCCGTGTGCTCCACGGCAGCAGCCCCGGGGCTTGCACGGCAGCGCGCCCCTCCCGTAGCGGCTGTTAATGTGCCTGTGTACTCGCAGGGAGGGGCTGAGCCGCGCGTTTCGGAGCCGCTCGTGTCCTGGAGCTTACATCCCTTAACCGTTGTTCCAGATAAAGTAACTGTCAGTTCTGATTCATACAAACTCATAACTCTATTCTGAATCCTGCTGATTTTTTGGCACGGAAACAGCCTGTGGAGCAAAATGCCGTAAGGGAGCTCGTGTCTGTGTAAATGGCCGGTGCTACTCGTCCTGAGCACGCTGCCCTTAGTGTTCGTTTATTTTTGAGGGATTTCAGCTTTTATGGGAAGGGAGGGGGGCTGTGTTTGTCCCATTTCCCTTTAGTGTTCAGTTCTCAGAACGTTTTTTAGTGAGAAGCAGCCACTCCAGACCCCAATATCACAGCTCAGCCCCTGTTCCCCATAGACTTGGGGCTCACAGGTTTAACAAGCCCCTTTGGGCCCCAGTGGCTACTGTTTTTCCCCCTGTTACCCCACATTTTCCAGTTTGTGTGTCCTGGGGCGGTGTGATGCTCTGTGTGCCTGTGCTCAGGGGGAGGCCACACCTCTCAGCTGCAGGGCATGTCCTGAGCTTCTTCCACCCATGGCAGGCAACAGCAGTTAAAGCCAATCTTCACCCACACCTGCAGACTAAACTGGACAGAAAAAGTGATTAAAAAATCAGATTTTAATCCTGCAGGCACGGCTGCTCAGGACAGGTGCAGTGCTGGGATAGCTGTGGTGCTCAGCAAACATGGGGCTACTCAGACAATTTAGTTAAATGCACCTTGTACTAGGAAACGTTATCCTGGCACGAGGAGCTTCCTCTTGTGTTGAGGCCTGAGTCATAGTGTTACATTCCCTTTGATTAATTTCTTTTGCAAGGATATCAAAAGCCCTTGAGATGCCCGTTTCATTTCTAGAGGACCTTGACAAGGGAGCATGAAGCCATGAACCAGCTGTAAAAGCCAAGAAATGCTAGTTTTCCTGGGGCCAGAACCCCAGCCCCAGCAGGATCATCCTCCCTCTGCATACACCCTCCCCCAGCAATCACTGAAATGCCTTTCCAACTGGGAATACTCAAGAAGAGGGAGTTGGAGCCCAGGGCCTGGGAGAAGGATGGCAGCTGTGGGGTGTGACAGAGTAGCCAGCCATCTTTGGTGCCACTGTCAGTGAGGACTAGCACAGCTCCCTCAGAAGAACAGGAATTAAAAGCAAAATGGACAGGAATTGGGTTATTTTTTTCCTCTCTAATAGCAGCTCTAGTAGGAGTCATCACTTGGTGTTTTTCATGCAGTTGCAAGGTGTAGAAATAGGCTGTTTTAAACAAAAATCAAGGTTTTCCTGCAGGTCTGCAAGGGATCTTGGGGCACTTGGAGGCAGGTGCAGGCAGAGCCCTGATCCTGTGCCCCTCAGAGCTGTTGCAGAGGGCAGTGCTGAGGCCTGTGGACCATGTGGGGATCCCCCGTGTTCTTGCTCCACTCTTCAGTGTCACTCCTCGCTGCAGGCACAGGAAGGTGTTTCCAGGACATTGGATGGGCTGGGGACATGCAGAAAAGGGAATTGCTTGTGACAGAGCGGAGGACTCGGCTTGCTGCTGGGAACATGTAGGACAGATGGGAAGAAGAGAGTGTTGAGCTGCTCTGAGCTGCAGGGACAAACCCACCCCCTTGCCAGGGATGGCCACAGAGCACCTTAGCTTGTTTCACACTGCACTGCACTGGGAGCTCAGTGGATCCTAAAATCCTCTTAGCATCTTGCTTTCACAGGAACAGTCCCTGGCACAGGTTTGCTGCACCTGCTCCCCTTTATTTCAGGCCCTTGGCTGAATTAATGCCATCCTGCCCCAAGGTGCCCAGGTCAGCAGCAGGCCAGGCTACTCCTCACCATTTAGCAAGCAGAGCACTGCGTTGGTGCTCATTGTACTTCCTTGCAGAGGGATGGTTTTGGGCTGGCCCAGTCCCAGCGGGCAGGGAGCTCCCCCAGACACCCTGTGCCTGGCTGGAAGTCCCTAGTGACGATGTACTGGAGGTGCCAGCTTGTCAGCTCCTAAGCAGCCATGTGGTGCTGGGGTGGCACCGGAGCTGTGCATGGCCCTAAATCTGCATGCAGGGCTCGCTGCTGCCTACAAGGACTCTTCTACAGAGCAGGTTTGTGATGTGGACAGAGGAGGCAGTAGCTGGCACATGGCATTATATGCCAGAGCATGGACTACTCGCCTCAGTATCCCTAACCTTTTCTGGCACAGCTCATCAGGATGCGAGGGCTATACCTGCTCCCAGTGTGATGCCCTGCACATGCTTCCCTCCCTCCTGGGATTTTCCTTCCTTCCTGAGAGCAGTTCAAAGCACACACCAGCACCCAGAGAGCTTGTGCCAGACCACCAGCTGCCCTCCCCTGGGGCCACTGCTACAGCACTCCTGCCTGCAGGGTGTTTGCTGTCCCTCCAGCAGTAAGGGAAGGGGACACAATTCGTCACTGGTGCTGGCACAAGCTTCTTGGTTCTTCCCTAACTCAGGGCAAAAATACCTGCAGGGCACCCCAGCCAACATCATTACTATTTTTAGCCTTCCCAGCTGATACAGGCAACTACTTGCTGTAGTTAGAAAAAACCGTCACCTTCTTACCTTGACAGTCACAGGCTTTGTGTTGGCATTTCCCTCCCTGTGTTTCCTGATGTCTCCTTGCTCAGCATGGAGCATGCAGGACAGAGGCACGCAGGGAAAGTGACCCCTCTGGGAGCAGAGCTTGCAGGATAGGTGGTGGTTGGGTGCAGGGGCTCCTGGGGATGATGATCCTCTCAGCACGCAGCATCTCTGCCTGCAGCTCCTGCCTGGTAGCTCCTGCCCACATGCAGGGAGTCTGCAGTGATTGGGAAAGCCCATGGGGAACCACTGATCCTGTGACTGATGCTGGAAGAAACCAAGACCCTGAAGTTCCCATTTGTGCGTGGGCAAGATTTGGGGCAGCCACGTGCAAACCCAGTCCCTGGGGCTGCTGGGGCAGCGGTGGCTGTCACCTGCCATGTCACCTGGCTGTCGTGGGGCCCAGATGGGCTCCCTGCTAGGCGTGGGCTGCACTCATGCACTGACTGGGGGGCTCAGTGCCTGGCACTGCCACCCTCTGTCCCCTCTGATGCCTCCCTCCTCTCCCCCTTGCAGCGCTCTGCCTGGTGCTGGGCTGTATGATCTTTCCTGATGGCTGGGATGCAGAGACCATACGGGACATGTGTGGGGAGAAGACAGGGAAATACTCCCTGGGCGACTGCTCCGTGCGCTGGGCTTACATCCTGGCCATCATCGGCATCCTCAACGCCCTCATCCTTTCCTTCCTGGCCTTTGTCCTCGGCAACCGGCAGAACGACCTGCTGCACGAGGAGCTCAAGACAGAAAGCAAAGGTGAGAGCCGCAGTGCTGAGGGGCCCGGGACCTTGGGGGTACCCTGGGTGGGAACAGCCGGGGGGGTTTGGCCCCTCCAGCATCCTGGAAAGGGTCGCATGGGCTTAACTCCCACCTACAAAGCAGGGCAGGCTGGGCAGGGTGGGAGTGGGCTGCCGAACCTCTGTCCTGCCTGACACCCGTCTCTTCTATTTCCACAGATTTTGTTGGCACTGCGGTAAGTCTTGAGTGTCACTGTCCTGTCCCCTGGCCCTGACTGTGTGGCGTGTCTGGGTGTGCTTCGTGGCTTGGGATGGGGGAACCCTGCCTGTGCAGGCAGCGAGGCTGGGGGCAATGGGGAAGGGAGTCAGCAGGGACAGGGTGGGGCGCCGCAGGGATGGGGACAGGCATGTGCTGGTGGCACGATGGTGCAATAAGACCTGCCCAACAGCGTCGCCGACCCGCTGTGCTCTCCCCGCAGAGGATATAAGGCCGACCGTCCGCAGCAGGACCCTCTTCCCATGGCCGGCAGCCTGGGCGCTCCCTCCCTCTCTTGCCCTTCGTCTGCTGCCAGCGGCCACACAGCGTCCCGCGCCGCCCCCCGGGCCCCGCCGCCCGCGCCAGGGATGCGCCGCCCGCCCGCCGCATCCACGGCCACCTCCATGTCCACGCCGGCACCGCCATCCCACGCACCCTGCCAGCTCCGCACCCCGCGCTGCCCGCGGGCCGCCGCCGGGGGAGGATGCCTCAAACGCGCTTCGTTCAAGAACAGCATCCAACTGCGGTTTTGTTTCAAGGAAAAAACAGTCTCGGAGTTTTTAACAGATTTCTACATCCCCAGGACTCCTGACCCGCTGCCTCCCACCCGAACGCGCACCCAGTGACGCCCCGTGCCGGCTGCTCCGGGTCCCGGACCCCTCCCCACTCCCATTTTGTACAGCTCCGTGATCCTGTCTCCACGGCCAGGGGACCCGGTGGCCGGGATAGGGCCCAACCCCTACTTTTACATGTAAATTCATATTCTCTAAACAGGGTAAAGTGACTCGAGCCCCCTCGCCCCCCACCCCGGGAGCCCGGCCACAGGACGCGGTGTTTCCTAGCGTGTGGCCGGGGCCGCCGGGGCCTCGCTGCTGCCGGCTATGGGACACCCGACACGCTCCGCCGCTGAATGTAAGCCCTGGTAAGTGGGAGCAGCTGAACATGCAAATCCCCCCGGGCGGGCGCAGGAGGACCCCCCGCCTCCCGCCAGACCCCTCCCCAAGCCGGCCGCGGGCTGTTGCCAAACGCCTTCCCTCCCCATACGGTGCTTTATCTCCACTGGTGACGGCGTGGCCGGGGATACCCGAGCCCTCCTGTGCCCACCCGGCCTCCTGGCTGCACCTCGCGGTCCCGCGGGGAGCCGGGGGCAGCTGCCCGGCCCCGATGGCCCCCACACAGCACCCCAGAGCCTGCCCCGACACCCCGGCGCGGGCGGCCGCAGCCCGGCTGTGGCTCTGCTGGCCAGACCGGTGCGTGTGGGCTTCCCCTGGCCACGGGGGCTTGGGTCACCGCAGCCCTCGCAATGCAATAAAGTCCTCAGCACTGGCCGCGTCTCAGTGCGAGCAGCCGGGGCTCCTCGCAGGGCCTCGGGCAGGGGAGGGCCCCCAGGGGGCCCTGGCAGGGTTGGACCCAGGCACTGGGCAAGGCCGGGGAGCAGGGAGCAGAGTGGGTCCCGGGATGGGGCCACAGAGCATGCAGGCTGCTGAGGGTTGGCATCAAGCACTCTGCAGGAACCATTGCCTCACCGGGCACCAGGGGCTGGTGGGAGCAGGTAAGTGGTGCCCTGAGGCCCTGCGGGGTGGCGGTGAGGGATGGAGCTGTGCCAAAACACCATCTGGGAGCCAAAGTCACCCGGGACGGCGTGGGTGCCATGAGCCTGGTGGTGCCCACATCCCTCCGGCAGCTGCCCCCCTGGAACGAGGTCAGCAGGAACCCCCTGCCCCTGGCAGCACCCGGGCCTTGCCAGCTTGTGAGTGCTGTTGCCAGCTGAATTGGAAAAACAAACCAAGAAAAATCAGTGGAGAAAGGAATACAGTAGCTGTAATATATCTGTATTTTAGTACAAAGTTTGATACAGTGTTTCACAAAACCTTATTGAAAAATATAATTCAAACCAGACGAGCTCGGAGCCCTGTGGTGTGAGGAGGGTTGGGATGGGCTCCTCCCGGCACTGCCGACACAGAGGAGATGGTCTGCAAGGAGGTCAAAGGATGCCACATGGTGTCCAAGCTGTGGTGGGGAAAGGAGGGTGGGGAAGGGAGGGTGGAGAGCCCTCCCTGTGCCCTGTGGAGTTGAGCCTCCACCCACATGGGCTGGCACACAAGAGGAGCTCTGGCCAAAGCAAGTCCCGTGGCAAGGCAGGAGGTGGGGCAGGGATCCCATCCATCCTTAGGAGCTTTTGAGCCCCTCCCTTCTGCCTGCTCACTGTGCACTATTAGTGGCCTGTCAGCTCACAGGTGGACACAGGCTGATAGCAGCCTCCTGAAATTCATAAAATTCCAGTGTCTTGATGGAAAAAACCAACTTACATGGCCGGTCGTTCCAGTGGCATGCTCTGGTAGAGGAGCAGGGATGTATTCCAGGCGGTGTGACGGCAGCATGGGGAACTCTTGGACATCTGGAGAGCTTTGGCCAGTTCTGGCCTCGCTGGTACAGGACGTTCTCAGAGCCTGGGTGAGCCCTGCGCTGGCAGATGGCAGGACAGGCTGAGGGTGGGCTGGGTCAGCTGCTGGGATAGAAGTAGGGGGGTTGGTGCTGCTCACAGTTGCTTTTGGGAAGCAGTACAGGAGATGGAGTCAGACTCTTCTGGGGGATGCACAAGGACAGGATAAGCCACAGCAGACACTGTCCCAAAAGGTGTCAGGAGGGATGTTCTCATGGTGAGGGTGGTCAAACACCAGCCGTGGGCATCTCAGACCAGCACTTGCACACACGTGGTAGGCCTCACTCCAGGCTCAGCCCATCTCAGGCTTCCTAAGGAAAAGGCAAGCAACATGAAAACCCTGGCTACCAGTGCACCAGAAAGCAGGTTTTGAAGCAGCTGCAGTGGTGCAGGGGACATCCTCCACACCATTTCCTCCCAAGATGAGGAGCAAGAACAGCAGCGCAGCCACAATCCCAAAACCCCAGCCAGAAGCTCAGGGAATTTCCTCAGGAACAGCAGCTCCCAAAGCAGCCCCCGGCTTCACACGAAATGCTGGCAGAAGGGAGGTCTGCAGGGCTGCTCCTCTGCTTACCCTGCAGGGACAAGGAAGGGAGACCAATATACTCCCACCCCCTCACCCCACATCCTGGGCTCAAGGTGGTAAGGAAATAGAACCCCCAAAATACTGGTTTTCAAGTTAAGTATTTTTATTATCAAAATTATTACATCTCTTGTGAAAGTTCAAATGTTACAGCATGGTGTAAAAACTCCACTAGAGTAAGAAGCTACAGCCCCCACCTTTCCTAGAGCTTTCCAGGGTCCCTCCCTCTTGCCCCCCTGCTGTGCCCAAAGGTGCTGGAGCCTCTGGGCAGGGCCCCCCTGGCCCCCTCCCACTGCCTGGCAGGGCAGAGCCTGCCTGCCCCGTGCTGCTCAGAGCACGAAAGGGGAGGCTGCATCCCCAGGGCTAAGCCAAGTGAAGTTTACACCTATTTTATACAGTATACAGACACCCAACTGCGGGGTGACAAGTTCCATCCCAACACGCTCACAGCCAGACAGTGTGAGAAAGTTACTCTTTGTTTCAATATTTTAAAAGTCTCCCCTAGGCTGAACAAACACCTGATTTCAATTGTGAATTAGAGAAACCTGTAACAGTCCTAAAAAAAGAGGAAGAAGACTGTGCATCTGAAAGGACAGGGGAGACAGACTCACAGCATTATGTTATCCAAGAGAAAGGAGAAGTTCCACTGCAGCACCAGGGATGACACCTGTCATATATTAGCTAACCTACTATGGTTATAACTGAATATAAAATTAGATAAATAAAAACACGCCCGATATTACAGTAAACAAGTGAGAAAGAAGCTGGCAATCGTATGGAATTGAACAGACAGCGCACTGTGTCTGGGCTGGCTCTCCTGCCACGCTCGGTGGGTTACGGCAGCTGGGAAAGACCCTGCACGGCACTGCCCCAAGAGCCTCTGGCTCGGCACAGCCCGGGGTCTGCACCCAACGCCCCAGCACTACCACTCGGCAGCCCCTGCTCCTCCACCTGCAGCCCCCGTGCACCGCAGCATCACTTGACTGATCAGGCCCCTGGTCACCCCCCACGTCTCCACATCAGGAGCCAGAGACCCCCGGCACGGCAGCATGTGACAGCACAGCCTCGGCCGTGCTCCTGCTCACAGACTCCTTAAGCGACCTTAGAACACTCGTTCACGACAGCCCTACAAGGAAGCAGCACATGACAGCGCACCCCAGACCCTCTGCAGCGACAGGCACACGCTCCAACCCCCTCCCGTGCTAGTTCACATTTGCAGAGACTGCTGTCCTGGAAAAAGCTCTGACAGTGGCAGTGGTGACCCAGGCCCAAAGGCAGCCGTGTGCGCTCATCTGCTTGTGACTGGAATGATCGTAACGGATTAAAGCCCTCCCCAGAACGCACTGAGAACCTGACCTATAAAGAGATTGGAGTTAACTTCTCCCAACGTTTCCTTTAAACTGCTTTCAAATTCATAACGATGTCCGTGCTGCATGAGTGACTGTGGCCACGGGCACGGACCAGAGACAGAGGCTGTGCCACAGTCATTGCACTTGAACCATTTGCCTTTTTTTTTTTCCTTTTTTTTTGTTTTTGTTTTTGCAATGTACCCACGCATCAGGGAACTGCTTTGCTACAGTCTCTGCCTCAGAGAAATCTGCGTTCTCCTACCAGGCCAGAGGCCAATACTGCTCACAAATCTCACCCGTGCATTTCAGACCTCAGCCTCTGACCCCTGGCACCCCAGCATCAGGTGCAAGCTCCCAACACCGGCCCAGGAGCCACTTCCAGAGGTGACTGGAAGGAGCTATGGGCAGTTTTGTCCTCCTGGAGTCCAGGCAGTCCTAGGAAAGTCCTGTTTGAGTCTTTACTCCAGAACCTTGAAGCTGCTGCAGTCTGTACTGGTGGACACTGCCTCCCCCGCGGTGCTGATAGTGTTGTGCACTGGAAATCACTGCGCCCCGGGAGCCCTGGTAGAGCACAGACTGCCCCGAGCTGGGCAGACTGATAGTCCGCAAGTCTGACTGTAGTGAGCGAGCACTTTGGGGAGCGGAGGAGGAGCCTGACACGCCCGTGCAGGGCTGGGAGCCCGACTCGGAGGAGAGAGAGTCCACAGCCGTCTGCTGTGCCGGGCTGGCAGCCGCAGGGCAGCTCTTCCTCAAGAGGCTGCTGCTGATGCTGCCAGAGTGCTGCTGGCTGCTGAAATACCCCGAGGTCCCTGCAAACAGGGCAGAGGAGTCTGTGGAGACCGAGTGGGCAGGGCTGGAGTACGAGGTGGAGGAGAGGGATGTTTCTGAGGAACCATGGGAGAGGCTGTGTCCTGTCCTCTGTGCTGCTGCTCGGTAGCTGTATCCAGGAGACGGCGCGAGGTGCCCTCTGTATGGGGAGGAGCTCTGCTGGAGCAGGGTCTGTGATTCCGCCTGGGGACTGTCAGACTGCAGCAGCTGAACAAGGCGTGGGGAAAAAAAAGAAAAGCCATGTCAGACTGACTTTCACGTTTCCTACCTCTTTCTCATGATGAAGGTACTTAGTGCAGCAGGACTGGGAACAATTGGCAGCCAAGGCCAGTTTCCCCTCTTATCTCTTTAAAGGTTTTATTTCAGAATGTGCAGATAATACATGAAAGCATTTACCTGGTAGCTGTACCGAGAAGGACTGTAAACTGCTGGTCCTTTGTGGGCTTCTGGAGTGTCTCCTTCTGCTGTGTCTGCAATGTACAGGCAGCATGTTAAAGCTCACCCTCTGGACTGAGGCTGGACAGCAGCTCCCTCTCAAATGGCACCACAGAGCCCAGCCCTCGTGATCTGCATCCAGCAGCAGCTGAGACCAGAGCAGCCTCCCAGGCATCAGCACTCCAGAGGCTGAAAATCTCAGCAGAAGACAAATGGGAAACCTTAACATGTACAAACAGCCACACGTGTGAAGAAGGGCTGCTCTCCTCTCCCCAGTGTACTCTGGTTTAGCACAAAGCCCACCTGCCTTGGACCAGCCTGTTCCTGAATGGCCATACCTAGAGACTCAGCATGGACACAGCCTGGGCTCCCCTGGCTCCTCAGTAGGATACCAGAGGCAGAAGATGGTTTCTAAGGTCTTGGCAATTTCCCACTCAGCATTGGTCACAGGAATCCACAATGGATACAGTTAAAGCTCAGGAGACAAAACTGTCCCTTCCTGGAGGGCTGTCAGCAGGATCCTGTGGCAGGTTTTCCTCCAAGGGTAGGCAAGAAGTACTTCCTGCAGTGAGCCAGCCCCTGAGCCATGTGTATGTTTCAGCTGCTACCCCTGTAACCATGGCTGGCAATCCTGCTTTCTTCAGTAGGGGTGAAGCTGCTTGGGACGAGGAGGCTTCACATCAGAGTTCTGTTGCAGACTAATGACAGAGAGCTGTTTATCTGCAGCATCTCAGGGATTCTCAGCAGCCAGATTTGAAATGCCTTGGTGAAACACTATTGGTATTAGTATCAAATTTATATGACAGATGTGTCTCAGTCATGAAACAGGACACGCTGCCTCAGTCTGCTCTGTACTTCTGCCAGACAGGTCTGGCTTTGCCCCAGCTGCACTGGCATGAGCACCAGTGTCAGCAGTGCCCGTGGCTCTGCTGCCATTGTCCTCTCTGTGCTGCACCACAGTGCTGCCTTAGCTAACAAGGATCTGGACAGAGCTTGTCTGCTCTTGAGGCTCAGGAGCCTTTTTCCTCAGGGCACAGACCTGCACAGAAACTGGGGCATGAAGCTTCCAGCACGTGTTCTGTGCCACCTTCCATGTCTGAAATGACATCGATGCAGCAAGTGGCTCTTGGACTTGCTGTAGGCGACACACTCAGTACTGCAAAAGGCAAAATTTGGAAGTTCGGGGCATGTTTTTGTTAAGCAGTCATGCACTGAAGAGACTAACTGTTCAATCCAAGAGATCTCTGTGATTCACAGAAGT